AATCTTCAATCTTGTAACTGTAATGACGACTTGGCTATAGGCTCTCCTCTAACCTCAGGGAAGCTTCCTCCACTACAGTGAGAGTCCCGTGGGCAACTCAGCCTGGTCCTGGTCTACCAGGGTCCCCCTACCTCGACCTTAAATGGCATTTCCAGGCCTAAGGGTTTCCTCTGCCTGCAGAGAGGACAAACACAGCCACCAGGGAAGGAAGCCATGCTCCCAAAGCTCTTGGAGCAGCGGGTGGGGGGGAAATGCTGTTACAGCACAGAAGTAGAAGACCTGCAGAAGAATGAGCAGCACCCTAAAACTAGTCCTGCACCCTTGGATCTCTGGCCTTCCAGGAAGGTAACTCTCGGGCTGGCAGCCGAGAGTTACCAACAAAGACCTCCCCACCCCCAGTCTTTGTTGCCTCTGGGCTGACCCCGTGTCCCAGAGGCAGGTCTCGAAATGACCCAGGAACAGACCCCATTGACAGGAAATCAGGCCCTTTGTATCTGAACATTTTTGGCTGGGCACGGTGGCTCATGCCTGTAATCCCAGCACTTTGGGAGGCCAAGGTGGGAGGATCCCCTTGAGTCCAGGAGTTCGAGACCAGCCTGAACAACATGGAAAGACGCTGTCTCTACAAAAATCATAAAAATTAGCCAGGTGTGGTGGCACACACTTGCAGTCCTAGCTATTCAGGATGCTGAGTAGGGGAATCACTTGAGCCCAGAAGGTTTCAGTGAATCATGACTGTGCCCCACGGCACTCCGGCCTAGGTGACAGAGTGAGACCCTGTGTCCAAAAAAAAGAAAAAAAAAGAAAAGAGGAAAAAAAAGAAAAGAAAAAAATCCGAACATTTTGACAAAGGGAATTGTGGGTGTTTGTGCTTCTTCCTCCTCACTGTCTTTCTCGAGTGTGGTACCTAAACCAATTAAATACGAAATCACTTTCTGTTATTATATTTAGGCAAATCATATTCCCACAGTTCCAAAATGCACACATTATAAATAAAATATAAATTCTTCTAGATCTTATTAAAGCATCTGCTCTCTGAGAACACTACCAGAAAAGCCATCATTTGCATCCCCTTCTGCTAGGTAAGCGGGGGCTTCCTACAAGGCCCCAAGAGTTCCTGTGGGAACTTCCCCTGACAGGAGCATGTCCCTCCATAAGCAGAAACTTCACAACACCTTTCAGGAGAACTCCCTTAAAGCCATGTATTTACATCTAGAAATGGAGCTATCATCTGCTTATCTCAGGATCAACAAACCTTGCACATCATTTAACTCATCTTCAGCAGACAAAATAACCAAGGTCCAGAGATGTTAAGTATTGTGTCCATGGTCATTCAGCAGTATCCCAATTTCAGGCTAAGAAACTCCAGTTTAAGAAAACTCTTGCCTAAATCTTTCACAATTCTAAATAGGAGACTGTTGACGCAAATGAGTGCACCTATACCGAAGATGAATAGTCTTTTTAAAAATTGTAAAGTGAAATTCCATGTAACACCTTAGCCTCCCACCCATGCCTGTTAGCGAACTGGCATATGGAAAACCTAAGTCCCAAACCAAAACAACCACAAATGTTCTTCCCAACTGTGAGGACTGAAGACTCAAGGCCAGCTGTGTCTGCCCTGCCTCCCAGTTTGGCTGCGGTCCTGTCCCAGCCAAAGAAATACAGCATAGAAAAATCACAAACCTTGCCACATCGTAAGCAGCCATATAGGGATGGAATCAGTATCTCCCTTTAGCTTTACAGATTCCATAGCCAAATTTTTCACATCAAAATTGGTGACACATGCGCTGACAGCAGGACAGAATATTAAAAATCAAGACCTCCTTGAGAAATCTGGCCATACGGTTGCCATGCCGACACCCTATAATGCCAAACAGGCATCGCCAAGGTCCAGAAGCAACTTGGCTGGCTTCGAATAGTCCAGACATTGTGAAAGCAGAGCTGCCTCCAGGTCCAGGCGCTTCTGCAGACCCTCCCTTTCCCAGCTCAGCTCTCTGACTCCCCAAGGGAGTGATGATGACGCCTGTCTGAATTTGTCAGTCTCTGACAGCAGGGCTAGCCACATCATTCTCTAAGAATCTGAAAATCCACATGCAGCGTCCTGGCCCAACTAGACAGAGAAATGTTTCTGAATAAGTAGTTACCACAAACTGCAGGGAGAAAGTAAATTCTCAGCTGCACCTGCCCCTTTTAAGTTGAATAAAGGGTTCAATGCCTGCAGAAGCTTGAACATACATCCCCCTACCTCCTTACTTAGAGCCAGGTTACAGTTGATAATAAAATATTAAGGTGATATGAATACAATATAATAATATTAAGGGCATGTGAAGCATTGACTGCTCCCAGAAATGGGTGAGAATCCTATTTCACTCCTTTAAGAAGCCTTGCTGTGCACTTTGGGAGGCTGAGGCAAATGGATCACATGAGGTCAGGAGTTCAAGACCAGCCTGGGCAACATGATGAAACTCTGTCTCTACTAAAACTACAAAAATTAGCTGAGAGTGGTGGCGCATGCCTGTAGTCCCAGCTGCTCAAGAGGCTGAGGCATGAGAATTGCTTGAACCCGGGAGGTGGAGGTTACAGTAAGCAAAGATCATGCCACCTCACTCCAGCCTGGGTGACAGAGTGAGACTCCATCTCAAAAAATAAAAGAAGTCTTGCTGTGTGCATCAATGTGGAGATGCAAGGAGCTTCCAGCATAGTTCCTGCATGCGTTACTTACATTCAGCTGTGAATCACATGGAAGTGAAATAACTGGAAGAGAGGAGTACAATGATACAATGCAAGGCAGTTGTCAAAAGTGGTGCATGACTAGGGGGTCAGTGCTGGTGGAACAGGCATCTAAAGCTTAAGAACAAAGAGGGAGCTGGCTGTGCCCCTAAGTGGCCACAGAAGGCTCTGCCACTCCCAGGGACTTCCATCCTCCCTTTCTTCCTGCACCTTCACTTCCCAGCTCCCAAGTATCTCCCTGATACTCCTTCATACTTTAAACTTAGCTTCCCACTCTGAGACCTTTTCTTATCTGCAGCAAGTCAAACCCTGTGGGAATAAGCATGGACAAGAGGATATTTACTGGTGATTCTCATGACCTCCAATTCCCATCCCTCAAAATCAGTGCTGAATCCTTCCAGCAGGTCCCCTACACCATTCTGGGACTCTTGAGAAATGTGAGCGGCCCTCCCAATGTATCTTGCAGGACTCTGGAAGGAGCGGGAGAGAGGTGCATGGGCCAGGTCAGGGTTTAGGTTCCGGGTTCCGAAGCAGAGGCTCTGAGCAGCAGTCCCCTGTGCTCTCTTCCTTCTTCTCCTCCCTGCCCAGCCTCTTTCTCCTCCCCTTCCAACTCAGACCCTCCTCCCATCACCTCACCAGAAAGAGGGACACAGCACTAGGGCTGTTTCTGTCACAGAGTATGAATGTGGCAGCTTGGGCTCCTGTGGAGGAAGCTCCCTGGGGTCTGGAGGCCACTGCTGGTTTGGACAGTTCCAGCTCCAACCTGTCCCTCTGCTCAGATCATAACACTCTGGGGTCTCAGCACAGGAGGCTTTTCCTCATCAGCTTTTTGTCCTGGGAGGACAGCCCAGAAGGGAACCTAATCAGGCTTGCCCCCAGAGAATTCACCCAGACTGGTAACTAGGACAAAACCCACAACCTCACCCCCCCACCCCCCAGGTCTCCTCAGGCAAAGCCCTGAAATAATGGTTCCTTTGCAGGGGACTCGGAATCTGGGGTAGGATGGGAATATGAGGGGACACTCTCCAATGAACTTCCCGATATTCCTGGGGTTCAGATCCGCGTCTGGATGCGTTTCTTGGATTCGGCTCCACACAAGCCTCAGCCCTCCGGACCTTGCACCTCCCCTGCAGAGCTCCTCACCCCCCCGCCCCCAGGCCCAGATCTTTCCTTGTCGGAATCGCCACGCTCTCTCCCTCCCTTACCCCCGCCCCACTCGGCTCTCCTCTTCCTGGTCCTCATCCGGCCAGGCTGCCCCGCCCTGGTAGGTCCCGAGGGTCGCCCGAGGCTCCCGTCCACCAACCGCCCCCGTCTGGAAGAACGCGCCCGCTCGAGCGCGCTCTCGGCGGGTGCCAAAGCCTCCCGCCTCAACAGGTGCCCCTGCCTGACCACACACAGCTCTGTCACCTGGGGCTCGGACGGAGACAGCGACAGGATCGCCCCCTGCAGGGCGGCTGCGGCTCCGCACGCCCCCGCCCGGGTCCCCAGAGCGCCAAGGGCCCCCGCAGCCCCGCCGCCGCCCCCGCTGTGCCACACCGCCTTTGTTTCCCCGCCCGCTTAGATGTCGCGAGGCTGACTTCATGCAAGGGTATCGCCAAGCTGGGGCGCTGACACTGCCCGCCCACCCGTGGTGGCAGACCCTAATGTTGGGAGTGAGGGACGCGTACAGTGAGAGACCTCTCCCCAACCCAGAGAACTCTAAGGGAGCTGAGTGTCCGCGCCGAAGAAGCGGGTTCAAGTTGACCCGGGCTCAGAAGGGCGCTCGAAGCTAGGCGCAGCGCCTAGAGAGCCTTCCCTACGCACGCCCCCACCCGATGTCCTTTGCCCCCAGAAGGCTGGAGAGGGGCTGCGCACTGCCACCTACGCGCTCGGCTGCGAGTGGCTCCCACAGCCCGCTCGCTGCGCGCTGGGCCCGGCAGCCTTCCGGGGCACACGAGGCTCCTGCAGCCCCCAGACCCCCGGCCCCGGCAGCGCAGAGCCGGGAAAGCCGCCACGTTCCCAGCCGCGCGCGCACGCCGGGCCCACCAAACTTGCAGCACTTTCTCCCAGCCCCCACCCTCTGTCACCCTCCCTTAGTCGGTGCGCCCCAGCCCCGCCGCCCAGCAGAGGTTGCCATAACAACGGGCAGGAATGCTCCAACATATACAAAGCCGGCCCGGCGCAGCGGGCACTCAGCCCCTGGCCGGGCCCCGCGCCCCCGGCCGCCGCGCAGGGGCTGGACGCGCGCCGCGGCTCCCTAGCCGGCCGCCCGACGCTCGGGGCGTACTCACAATGAGCGGGATGGTGCGGTCCTCGCGGAGCTGCTCCGGCCCGCGGCCGGCCCTCTGCGCGCCCCGGCCGCCTGAGGATGCTGCGTGGGCTCGGTTGTCCTGCCATAAGTAGTAGAAAGTGCCCAGGATCCAGGCTACGGTCAGGATGGCGATGGCATTGGCGCGGATCTTCCTCATGGTGGGCAGACGGGCGCCCCGGGTGGGGGCCGGGGCCGGCGTGCTCTCGGGGCCGGGGCGGGGGCGCTCGCAGCCCCAGCTGTTTGTTTTCGCTCGCGCCTAGCTGCTCAGTCCTGCAGAGCAGAAAAAGGAGAGAGGTGGCGGGGGGGCGGGGGGGTGATAGGGAGAGACAGGATCGCGGAGCGATCCTCACGGTCCTAATGCCCTTCAGCCCCGAGCGCGCGCGTCCCCCGGGCGCCCATTCATCGCGCGCAGGGCCGGTCCCGCGCTCCAGCCGCCGCCGGCTGACCCACCCGGCCACTGCGCACTGAGAGAGGAGCGCGCCGGGTGGGAAGCGGCGCGGGCCTTCCTCCCGCGCCCGGGAACCCGGCGAGACAGACGCCCGCGGCGGAATGGCGACTGGCCAGAGCCAGCCTCGGCTCCCACCGCTAGATGACCGAACGCCCGGCAGCTGCCCCCGCGCGGCCCTGGTCGGTCCTGCCTACCCACACCCACCCCCGGACCGAGCGGCCCTGAGTCACCGACTGGAGACGCGCGACCCCCGACCTGGGCCAGCGCCGCGGAGCTGCAGTTCCGGGCTGCGCTTTGGCGCGGGATTCAAGGTGTGTTCGGCGAGTCCTTGGGTAGGGGCGGCTGGGCGGGGGAGAGTCCTGAGTTTGTACTGGAATCTGCAGCCAAGATTAGCCAGACAGGGCCCGCCCAGAGGAGGGATTGGAAGCTGGTGCACTTGACATTCGAGGAGAGCGAAGGGGAAACGACGCTGCCTCACAACCAGTGCTAGGAGAGTGGGGGTACAGCCATTCCAATTTTTCACTGGCCTGGGGCTCCCGGATTTCACGATGCTTCCCCCTATCCCGCCCCATAGACCCTGGACAACCCTGAAATATCATCGTCAGCATTATTTCATCGGAAAGAAGGGAAGCAAGAGAGGCCGGATGATTCTCCCAAGGCCATACGGCTAATTAGTGGGCAGAGCCCAGTATGGAAGCCATCTCTCCATCTGACACCTTTCGACAAAGTGCAAAACGTGGTGGTGAGAGACGAGGACACAGACGCTGAGATTCCGCTCCAGCCCTAGAGGCACTGGGAATCAGGCGTGAACTACTCTTCAGGCAGAAAGCAAGTGACTTAGATGAGTTTTAGGAGACTAGCACAGTGTCGGGCACAGAGCGCTCAATGAATAGATGTGTAACAACAAAGTAGGGATCCAACAGAGGAAGAAATAATTTATTGTAAAGTGGTCTTCTTTGGGAAAGCTCCCAGAAAGGTGGATGAATCACTTAAGAGGCAAGGAAGGGGGAGGTGAGGAAAGGGGAGGGAATGCAGGAATAGGCCTTGCAAAGATCCGGAGGATGGAAGAGCTTGATGTGTTCAAGAGAGAGAGCTGCAGGGCGTTGCAGGAGGCCTAGGATTTGACGGGAGTTGAGGTTGGCCAGGCTGGGTGGGTCTGAACTCAGGAGGTCCTTGAATGCTGGGGCAGAGTTGGTGAGGAGTCTGCTTCCTGCTGGCACTGCTGGACACCATGGCTTCTCCGAAGACCCACATAGGGTCCAGCCTCTAAATGAAGCCACCTGGGGAATCAGGCAAACTGAGGTCACAGCATCATGCCCCCCACAAGCATTCCATGAGCACCACCCTGACAGATAGAAGTAAAATCAGATGGCTTTTCTCCATTTCTCCAGCACTTGAGACGAAACTGCACACATAATAGATGCTCAATACATTTCTGTTGAGGTGAAGAAACCCCTAGTTGGGTTTTTGCCGCGGAAAACCCAGGGTCATCGCTGCAATACGATATCCTCACTCAGAAGACTAGTTACGAGGACACTGAGATAAGTCCAAAAGTGACCCAAGCGGGAATGGGCCTAGAAAGAAGAGAATGCACAAAAGAGGGCCCCAAAAGGGTCTACACAAGTAGCAGGGAGTTTCAGGCATAAGGTGTGGCAGTCACAAGCAACAGGGGCAGGGGTGTGGAGACACCAGATGCTCTCCCAGGTGGTGTATCTCCCCTGGGGAGTTTAATAGTGCGCCAGGGGCCAGGGCTTGTTTGCATAGATGGAGAAAACCAATGCCAAGCCACCATCTGGTTTCTGCAGGAATCATGGGGCAGATCCAGTGGTCATGCCATCTGTGGGAGGCCAGGAAAGACCTTGCTCCTTGGTAATTAGGCTCCACAGGCCTCTCAGGTCAACCAAGAAAATGTAAGGGAACTACATAATCTCCTGGTGCCCCCATTTTCACACATCTCTCAGGTGAGCCAGGTAAAAGACTTGGGGAGTAGCCCTGTTGTCATAGGCTGCTCCCCTCATCCCAGCCTGGTGTGTGCATATCTAGTTGCCTTTGGATGTGGGATCCGAAGACATCATATCACCTATCACTTCCTGGTGAAAGGCTCCAAACTCACCCCTCGGCATGGGGATGAAGCTGGACCATGCTGACTGAAACCAGGCGGATGGGGCTTCTAGTGACTCCAAAAGGAAGGCTCCATGGGGAGAAGGAGGGAGGGGAAGGATGGGCTAGAATGTGGCAGGGTTTCTCACATCTCACCACTTACTGCCCAGGGCTCAGTGGTGAGGATGCTATATTTCTGCCCCAAATGGTCACTCCTGGTAGTTCTGTCCCTGACAGAAGGTTTCCTTGGCCCCCACCACCAGAAAGACTGCACAGAAGTGAAGTGTAGCCTCTCTAGATGACTTTACCACAGCTCTTCCTTAGTTGGGCACTTCCCTGGGGGATGACAGGGGTGGGGTGGGGGTAAGACAGCAAGTAATTACCGTGCTCATTTGACTTACAGGAATTCCACATAGACAGAGGTGGAGTAATGTGCCTGAAGCCATAGGCACTCTGGCAGAGCTAGAGACCAGGAATTGCCACCTTGGCCACAGTCTGTGGTCTTTGTTTCAGATTCTAATCCCAAGTGGGTGCAGAACTGGCCCTCCCTGGGATAGGTTTCAATGCTCAGAAATGACCATGAGTATTGTTTCCTTTCTGGTACTAGGAATGGATTCCAGCAGCATCATAGAATCAAAGCAACACCTAAGGAATTCACTGTTTCTTCACGTACTTTGAACTTTGAAAACAAGAGTCATCATAATAGCTACAGTTTACTCAGTACCTACCAGATGCCAGTCACTGTGCCACCACTTCACCTATACTGTCTCTAAAGCCCATACAACCCTGAGCTAAGGATGATCATATCCCCAACTGCAGACGATGACACTGAAGCCCAAAGGCTACTCAACTTGCCTGGAATTCTACAGCAAATAAGTGGTGAAGCTCAGTTTAAGTCCTGTGCCATTTTCAACGCTTGTGTCTGGGTACGAGTGCAGGGCTTCTGACGCCACTGGGAAATCTGCAGTGTGGTCTGAATTTCTGTATGCAGGAGCCTCACTTCCCCTGCCCACAGTTCTCCGTTTTCTCATCCATAAAAGGAGGGATACGAGATGTCCTGGGGGAAGCGGGGGTCCCACCAACTGTGCCACTTAGAACTTGCATTTCCTCCCTTTCAGGATTTCTCTTAGGCACATTGTTTTAAAGCTGTCAAAGCCAGCACTCAGGGTAAGCTGGGCAAAGTTCCACAAGCCCCTGGGGCTCCCAGATGCCCCAGGGAGCTCTCCGCCTCCGCCTCCGCCTCCACCTCCGTGCCTTTGGTGTGGGGGTTGTAGAGGAGTGGATAACCGAGGGGGAAAGGGTACAGCTCAGTGTAAGGCCCTGGCTCTGGGGCTGGACAACCTGAACTTGAATGCTGATCCTGTCACAAATTAAGAGAGTGGCTTAGGCAAATTCTTTTTTTTTTTTTTTTTTTGAGACGGAGTCTCGCTCTGTCACCCAGGCTGGAGTGCAGTGGCCGGATCTCAGCTCACTGCAAGCTCCGCCTCCCGGGTTTATGCCATTCTCCTGCCTCAGCCTCCCGAGTAGCTGGGACTACAGGTGCCCGCCACCTCGCCCGGCTAATTTTTTGTATTTTTTTAGTAGAGACGGGGGTTTCACCGTGTTAGCCAGGATGGTCTCGATCTCCTGACCTTGTGATCCGCCCGTCTCGGCCTCCCAAAGTGCTGGGATTACAGGCGTGAGCCACCGCGCCCGGCCGGCAAATTCTTAACCTCAGTTTCCTCAACTGCAAAATGGGGCACTGACAGCTCTTACCTCACAACTTTGTTGGGAAAGATAGGATGAAATAAAGTCATATAAAATCCAGTGCCTAGTAAGCACCCCAGTCCCCTGGGGCTCTTTCCCGCAGGCTGTTGCTGGCTGCTGGAGGTGAAAGGGGCCTCCTGAAAGGGATTGCTCACTATTGCTGCCAAGAACAGATCTGACGTGAGCCTCTTTGGCCATGGCTAATGTCCAGCATTCATAGACTGTCCTGCCCATGGGTGGTGGCTGCCCCTTCCAGAGCCTCTGCTCAGCAGGCTGGAGGCAAGGCAGGGGACAGGCACAGAGCAGGGCCCCAGCCTCCCATTCATTACCTTTGAGATGCTGGGCCAACTCAGAAGCTCTTGCTCTGTCTGCAGCAGTAGGGCCCAGAAGGTAGGGAAGGGACCTGACTGGATACCCTCACGGGCCCATATCTGCTCTAAGCAGGAAAGAAGGCAGGGATGGTGGACAGAATGTATGTTACCATGCAACAGGCAATGTGCTGACACAGGATCTCAGAATACTCACAACGACCCTGTGAAGAAGGCGCAATCATCCCCTTTCCACAGGGGAGGATACTGATGCCCACGGAGGTGCCAGCATAAAGTGGAGCATGCGCTGCCCGCTGCCCACTGCCAGCTGAGCGCACTCAATGCACCCATCGTCTCTAAGGAAAAGATATTTATAAGGTGAGTTTCTACAAACCATTATATATGGAGGAAAGGACTGAGCTCTTTGAAAGGAACTTGGCAGCTTTCTTATTGTCAATCTTCCTCCTCCTATTTATCTGATAACCGTGGTTTATTACTTATTAGTTTCTGCCACTGGAGTATGTGTTCCAAGAGGACTGGGGTTCTTGTATATTTTGTTTACCACTGTTTTCCCGGTGCTTATAGTAGTGGCAAATAGTACATGCTTGTTAGTGTGCAGTATTTGGTTTTTGTTTGTTTGTCTAAAGCCCTTGGAATGCGATCTCATAGGTATTTGTTGATGGAAGGAAGGGAGAGGAAGAGGGAGGGAGGAGAAAAGGCAGGGTAGCTTCATGAAAAATGCACTTCTCTCTTAAGCCAAGCACTTGAGAAATGAGTACAGGACTAGAGCACAGACAAAGCGGGTGACTCATCTAGGACCAGGACGGACCAGTGTAGTAAGTCCCCTGCCAGTGCTTCCTCCCCAAGTCATGGAGCCAGGGCCAAGCCCTCCTGCCCCAGGATAAGTGAGGAGAGAAAGTCCTTTGTGGTCCCATCAGAAGTAGCAGAAGGAATGACCCCAATTCTGGTGGACAACTGCAAGAACCATAAATGTTACTAGGGATCATGAAATAACCCAGGTGTTGCGTTTGAGAATAATAGCATTGCAGAGGCTGCAGGCTAATTAGAAATGTGTCAAATGATT